TTATACACCCCTTTTGAGCTTTGTTTTGTCTTTGAGGGTGTGCGCAAGCTGTCGTCCAAGGAATGGGGCACCTCGGAATTCCCACAGCGCTTTGAGCAGCCAATAAAACACACCAGCTTGACTATGGAGGAATCTTTGGAAAGCCAGTTCCCCCGTGTACATTTGCACGCCCAGTTCACATTTGCGCGCAGAATCAACCGGCAGCTGCTAGTTATTGTCAAGCGCTTTTTGAAAAGAGGTTTCTGGAACCCCCGTGTTTCGTGGGTGATATTGAAAAGACCAACCCAAAACAGTGCTAGAGCGGTGTCTAAGGACCAGGGATTGCTTCAAGTTTCGTGGCGTTGTCCCGCACATAGAGACGAACCAAGCTCGGGGAAAAGACGTTGAGGCAGCCCGTGCAAGAGCGCATTTTTACGTAGTGTGCTAGGGCCTCAGTGGCCGCCGTTGTGAACTCACAGCTTGTGCTTGTCGCTTCAACCTTTCTTCCCATAGTGTTTAGGTCGAAAACGTGGTTCTCTCTGGTCCTTTACAGATTGGCACCCTTTCATTGATTACGCTGTGAATCCAGCGTGGGTCACTGGCTGGTGGTGTGTGCAGCGCCTCAGCTGCAAGAATAAGATGCTTGGCGGCCATGTGTGTGGCTTCTGTGGGAACCCCCAAAGCGCAGGAAATTCTCTCACCAGCAGTACGCGAGCTATTTGCTCCAATGTCGGCGGGCCTACAAGACCAATTTGCAAAATGCAGAGGCAGTGGAAAAGCGAGAGAAAGAACTTGCTGTGTGACTTGGATGGGCTCCGGTTCAGTTGCTTACTTTGTCTTGTGTTGCTTGGCCACGTGTTGTATGTCAATTGTGTGGTCGGCGGCTGTGAGGCGAGTCTACCAGAAAGACGTGGTCCAGAAGCTTATCGCTAACCGGGCGCCATTCCGTGCAACCTCAGACCCCATGTTCTCCAACCTGCCTGCCTTCCGCCGGCAATTTGAGTTTGCCTGTGAGTGCCTTGGGTGTAAGTTTGTGGGTACGTAACAAGAACTTGCCACAAAGTGAGTTTGGGAACTATGCTGTCTCTATAGTTTCCAGGCGCTACCAGCTGTATGCTCTCCAGGGGCCGTCTCAAAGCGCAAAGACGTCATTCATCAAGAGCTTGTACCGCAACCCGTTCGTCGTCACAGTCCAGGGCATCACTACATTGAACTTGTCCACTTTTGAATATGGCGTGCGCGATGCGTTGTGCCTTGGTCGGACTGTACTAGTTGCGCGCGCTGTGGAGGTGCCGTAAGCTGGCTGCGCAGGCTGCGCGCATTCTAGTTCCAGCCAGTCGCGCGTCAACAGGTCGTGGGATACTAGCTATCTGGGCATATCATATTCCCCAGATAGGGTTCTTACTTCAAACAGCGATGAGCTGCCTTTGCGCGCTTTCGAGACAGGTTGCTCTCATTTCCCCTTCCAACAATCCTTTTTCCCGTAGTGCCACACTGAGGATCTTAGACAACATCAACGACTGGGCATTCATCCTAGAGCACCGCGCCTTGCTACAGGCTAACACAGACTTCCACAAGCTGGGTGAATCTCAAACCGGAGTCTTTTCGTACACCGTTTTTCTGTGGGCCACGCCCGTGGCTATAACCTTGGACTTGGATGTGGATTCCCAAAGCGCTTTTGAGTGCAGCGATTGGTTGCGGGCAAATGTCCTCCTGGATGTTCTGAAGCCAGGGGATAAAACGTTCCTCGAAGAGGGGCGGCCCAAGCTCCGGATGTCTGACATGCCCGAGTTGCAACTGGACATAGCTTTGTAAGAAGTGACAGGCTGGAAAAGTCGCAGCGCGTTGACGACGTTGCATTTGCAAGGCCTTGTGCTACAAGATGGTTTGAGAGAAGCGGCTCGTATTGAGGTTCTACCGGAATAGCTCTTCCAATTGTTCCATAGGATTAAATAGAGCGTTAAGCGTCTTGATGGCCAAGGTCTTTCAGGTGATCGTCTGGGCCGGGAACCCACCCTTGGTAGCCTTGCGTGCTTTTCGTGTCTATACTCTACCTTTACTCAGGCCTGGCTGGTGGTGATCATTTGGGCGTGGATCCTACTGAGTCTAATTCACTGAATTCACCGTTTCTTCACTTTGCTCAAGCTTTGCAGATGGTCATGTGGATCCAGCACTCTACGCAAACTCTGCAGATTCCTTTCTCTTGGCTGACCTTGCAAACAGTGTGTTACAGACATGCACAGTTTTTGCGAAGTGTGTTGTCGTCCTGTGACGTGGACGTAGCCGATTTGAAACAGTCATTGTACATCCATCAGTCCGACGCCGCTGCATGAAATCTACAACTCGGAATCATCCGTACGTCGGAACCAGTCATTTAGAAGTAAGTGGCTTGGAATCCGTAGCTCGGAACCCGCAACTGGGCAACTTGGAATCTGTAGCCCCGAGCCCTTCACTCAGAAACCATAATCGGGAATTGGGAATCCGTACTTATTACTGTCTCAGGTCTGGCAGGCTTAGGGTGGACAGTGGCCATTCTCAGGGTGATTAGAACCTGAGACCATTTTTGGCTCAAGTGTACTTGGACTACGTCATGTTCTTCTCGGGGCAGCAACGCTTTGGACAAAGCGCGTGGTAGAATCCTCCAAAGGGAACGGGACTTGGAGCCCTTCTAGAGGCGCGCGACGTGCGGCCATGTGGAGGCGCACGACCTGCCTGTATAGTATTATAAACCCCAAAGTGTCGATGATTGGGCTGACCCATTTTTTACAATGTTTTTGTTGGGCTTGGAGTGGGCTTGGGTTGGGCTAGTGTTGGGCTAGCCCATTTTTACTAGTGTTTTGGCTGGGCTTGGGTTGGGCTAGCCCATTTTTAGCAGCGTTTCCATTGGGCCAGTGTTGGGCTAGCCCATGTTTACCAGTGTTTTGGCTGGGCTTGGGTTGGGCTATTGTTGGGCTGGCCCATTTTTACCAATGTTTTTGGCTAGAGTCGGGTTGGACTGGCCTTGGGCCCGTTTTTAGCAGTGTTTTGGCTGGACTTGGGTCCGGCTAGCGTTGGGCTAGCTCATTTTTGGCAATGGGCTTGGGTTGGGCCAGCTCATTTTTAGCAATGTTTTGGTTGGGCTTCCATATCTTCCAGTCGCCGGCAACCCTGCGAGGGCGTCTATATCGGAGGTCGAAGCAAACCGAAAAAGAATTTGAATTCAATGCCTTTTTGGGTGGCTAGTGTTGCGCCAGCCCATTTTTGCCAGGGTCGCGTCAGGAGCAGCCTATAGCTGAGCTGCCACCTCATCTTTTGTGTGGGCAGGGTTGTGGATGGACGCAGCCCTTTGGTAGAGACAGTGTCGCTCCACGGTTGCGTGCGGTTGCGGATGCTTGCGGACGCTTGCGGACGGTTGCGGACGGTTGGGAACGCTGAGACCACGGGTCGCGAACAAGGCTCTATACCCCAGACCCCCAGAGTCAAACGAGAACCCTTTGCGACGCATTCGGGAAAAACAAAAAAGAACACAACGCTCCCAGTATGTTTGGTGCGCGCAACACTGTCAGTGGAATGATGCCCATGCGTCTTTTTGGCTGTCTTCTCTGACGAGCTTGTGGCTCATAAAACGCAGAGTGTGAAAGAGTTGTAGTAGCAAGTGAGCAGACTGTCGTCATGGCGGCGAAAGCGAAAGCCGTGGCCAAAGCAAAAGCAAAGCCGACTGAGGACACAAAAGCTTTCTTTAGTTGAGTTACATGTTGCCTCTGCCTTTGGGTTTTGATGACAAACCGCGGACCCCACTTTCGTGTCAAGAAAATGGTTCTATTCCTGAAGCCGCAGTTTGTGGCCTCGCTAGTCCGGGAGATGTTGGGAATAGGTCGCGGACAAGTTAAGGCTTGTACGTGCAAAGGTCAACTGCCCTTGGCTGTTTGTCCAGTTTGTTTTTGGACAGGTTTGCAAGTCTAGGAGCCTCGCCGGTTGTAGTAGATGGCTCAAAGTATTTGATCAAGATGATACTGACGTGGACCTCTGTCTCTGAGGGGGGCGCAGTTGTCGCATGTCTTCAGCGCAGTTGGCAGAGATACAGCACAGGATAGCGAACGTGTCCAGGCGCTTGCGAAGGATGCAAGAGCGGACACAGCGACGTGCCCGCGTCCTCCGACTTCAAACCCTGCTGGTGTACATCTATTCAGGACATCAGTCCGATGTGGCTGCCCGTTTCTGGGTTTCTCATACAGGAACCTCCTTGTCCTTGGGCGAGGCTGCCGCTCATGTCGAGTGGTTGTACATCAGTGCCAGTGTTGACGAGAAGGTGGAGATGATGCTCAATCCCCGGTGCAGTCTTGGCCTGCGTCCTCTCATGGTGGCCTTGCGGTTCATCGTGGAGCTGCAGCTTCTCTCTTGGGTCCAGTTCCAGAACTACGAGTGTGGAGTCGCTCCATCACGAAAGATGTTGCTTGATCATGCTCAGTCTTGTGTGCCCAAGGATCTGCCTCCATCCCTCACTGCCCGATTGCTCCGCCCTTTCAAAACTGCTCGCAGCCAGCGCAAGGCCTTGGCTGCTTTCAGAATGAAGCATCGGTGCAAACTTGGAAAATTGCGGTCGGAGGCTCCCATCCCACTAGCTGAGAAGCAGGACAAGGCAAGAGTCGGTCGGGCCGGAGACCGTGCGCGATGATTGGAGACTTCAAACAGCATGAAGTGTTGGGGTCGCTAAGCCCTTGCTGCGTTCTTGCCTCACTTCGCGGGTCTCATTTTGGGGTCAGGAAAACGGACGCCAAAAAGGTGTCCGCATTTTATGATCAGTGAGAGCGCGTAAGGACATTTTTATTTGTGGGGTGCATGGGCAGGCCAAAAAGGGATCCCAAAACGGGGGACGGAAAACGGACCTCAAAAGCGGGTACAGATTTGATGATTTTTTGGCTACTGCAGGCTCTGGCGTTCTACCAGTGGTGCAACTATTGGCAAGCGAACACAGAGCGCGAGCCCTTGCTCATCAACATGGATGAGTCAAGCCTTGCTTTTCATTGGAGCGGCTTAGCTGGAACAGTTGCGGAGGCAGCAGTGAGTGTGGCGACAGACAAGGCGAAGCTCAGCAGCCGAAGGGCGCGGGTGACGTACCTTTGTTGCATCACGCACGACAGCACAGTGCAACCGTTGCTCCCGCAAGTGTTGCTGGGCAATTCTCGGTCCTTCCCCTTAGAGTTTGTGAAGCAGGCTGCAGAAGTTGAACCGGGCATTACTGTTTGGCGGGAAAAATCCGCTTGGAACTCACACAGGTTGATGCGGAAGTTCCTCCGGTTGCTGTGTGCCCGTTTGGGCGACTTGTTGAAGACGCGCAGCGTGGGCTTATTGCTCGATTTCGCTCCGTGCCATGTGCATGATTCGATTTTTGAATTGGCCCGAAGCGCG